AATTTCTAGACATGTTCTGTTTTTCTTTTTGTTTGTCATCATCTCTGAATGAAACAGGTGCAATATAAATAATAAATTATTATTATTATCAGTGATTAACATCCACTTTCATTTTTATTATTTAGTATTACCAAATTGATTTGAACCCAAAAATGATTTTGCAATTGAGTGTATACAATCTAATTTAAATTTAAAGCCTAATTGATTCSTAGTAGTGAATGCATACGTAAGATTGGTTAGTTATAGTCTAATCAGAAAATTGATGGGCCATTTTATGCTTGCACTAAGAGTTACAGTAGTTATATTGTAAACTGTAATTTTGTAATCTCTCGAAAAAAGGGAAACTAGTATATCACACCTTAAAGGTACACTGTTTACTAGTTCTAACCATCAATCAAAGGGTGTCCGGTCTTTTCGCTACCTTGCACTTTCGCTACTTACTTAAAAGGTAGATTCCCTACTCAATAGAAGTCGATTCGCTACCTTATCTCAAATGTTAAATATCACAATATCCRGAATGTATATTGCATATATATTAATTTTGAGTCTATATCGATAAATTTAAATTGTGGTTTACAGCATCAAAACTTATAAACTTTCTGGTTAGWTGTCGATCGAGAAATCTAAAACCTAGCGAAGAAAGGATATTTACATCTCCYCATTTACATGCGAGTTAACGACTACTTATAAAATCTTACGTTCAATGAAGAACTTTTCTGACAAATAAAAAGTTTTAGTTACAAAGAAGAAATCTAGTCCAGTTTTTCAGAGTTATTTTGGACTCTCGGCATTATGTTACAACAAACAAATGGAAAGCTAGAGAAACAAAGGCTTATATTTTTTTTAGCTTCGTAGTAAAGTAGCGAATGGACTCTCGGCGTGATGCGTTGTGTGGTGTTGAATTAAACAARCTGATTTGTTTGTCGTAACACAACGCCGTAAGTCTGTTTACAGGCATCTTGAGAAAAAGTAGCGATTGCGCTACCTCAAGGTAGCAAATCGACTTCTATTAGTAGCGAATGTGCAGTAGCGAAAGTGCAAGGTAGCGAAAAGACCGTAATTCAATCCAAGCTTGTTAATTCAAAAAAKAATTTTGGAATACCTGTGTTTTTAGTATAAGTATTATAATTATGTATTTATTAAAACATGTGACTCTTTCCTMTCCAGACTTTGAACAAATAAGTAATGATACTGTAGGTGAATATTTCAAAGATAAGGATGTCTTTTTTTGTACTCTTGGCACGACAAGAAAGACTGCAGGATCAGCAGTAAGTACTAAATATACGTTTACAACTGATTTGCAAATACAAAATTCCGTGATACTTACTGGTAACTAGTCTGCTTAGAGCAGTTATTGTAGGAGTGGGTAATATGAAGTACTGCCTTACAGCATGTATATCGAAAATAATGGCTTCCTATTTTTTCAAATACCTGCTTGACCTTGACTCATGAGTCCCTATCATAAGGAGTTGGTAGACACAGATGTGTGGGTCGCATTTTGATGAACTTTGCTTGTCACCTCTATTACAATATGAACCAGGGAATAAGTTWTTTATAACAAGTCATTAATTTAGATTTTGTCTTTTAGGAAGCATTTCACCACATTGACCATGACTATGTCGTTAACTGTGCCAAGGTTGCAAGGGATGTTGGTGTTTCATCGGTCAGCTATGTTTCCTCTCAAGGAGCAAATGCAAATAGTTGGTTTCTATACCCTAAAACTAAGGGCGAAGTGGAAGAAGCATTGAAAAACTTGAAATTCAAGTTTACAAGCATATACAGGCCAGGTCTTTTGGATCGTGGGTCAAAAAAAAGATTTGTAGAAAAACTTGCAGGTAATGATATTTTCTTATTGCCTTATGAAAGCTGAATTTGTTCAGTTCTTTGTGTTTAGAATGGAGTGTGCCCAATAGTCCCCTTCATGGTTCCCTGCACCATCTTGAAAGGTAGCCATGCCTTTGCATTGAAAGGAGTTAAACGGTGAGCTTGCACTGAAAAAGACCTTTTCAACACCTTGCAAGCTCACCGTTCGTCTTGCTTTGATGCAAAGGCATGGCTACCTTTCAAGATGGTGCAGGGAACTGTGAAAGGGACTAATGAAAATTTAAAATACAGTACATTTTATTTATAGTGTAGGTATATCCTTAAAAAAATGCACCAAAAAGACTTTTTTTAAATTGTATTTCTRAATGCCATTTAGGTTGGGTGGTTAATTCAATTGCAGTCAGTGATGTGGCTAAAGCCATGAGAGTAGATGGAGAAAAGCAAGTACAACAAAAATCTTCTGAGACTGAAGTCACCAACCTGTACTTCAACGATGACATGTGGAAGCTTTGTTCAGAAAGTTAGATARGTTGCAGACTGGTATACACCTATTTCAAAAAATGTTGTCGGTTGGATATCTAAAATCAGAAATCTGAGAAYGATTGGAATTGTGAGGGACTGTGTTTTCTCGTTAAATATTCAATATATACTTACACAGATAGTTTGCCAGCACAGGTCATTGCTCAAAGTTAGTATAAATTATCAAAATATTAACTTTTTGTGAACTACTAATTAAAACCACAAACAATATTACATCTTACAACCCACAATTCCTTTCGGTCTCAGATTTCAGATCTCCGACCGACAACATTTTTTGAAATAGGTGTATATTCMACTATTAGAGTATTCATACTTAACAATTATTCACCAAAGGCATTCAGTGATTATCGGTGGAATACTTTCTTCAAGCGGCAAGGTAAGTATTCACCATAATCACTTTGCCTTCAAGGGTGAATAATAATTACTGTTTTGGTACAATCTTAGACTTGAATATCAGAGAAAAGACGAAATTAAAGATGAAAAATAATTTTTGTATACTTCCTTTGCCAAACTTTGCAACACCTCATAATCTCTGCTTGAGCAGTGATTATCATCTCAGAATCACTGGTCGCTTGACCAATCATAGTGCACAAAACTAATGTAAGCCWAAATTCAGGGTTCGTGCTACTCCTTGAAATCCTTGAAAAGTCCTTTAATTGAAAACACGAGAAAGTAGCACGAACCCTGTAAATTTATGGTAAATTGATGCAAGTCTAAAATTATACTAAAATTGCTAATATGTCTGCAGTGTTGCAATTTAGAGGTGGAAATGCAACACCAAACACTGCCAAGCAACATTAGTCACCTAGAACTTTTTTTTTCATTCACATTATATGATCATTTATGATTAAACAATTAACACCAGTTAGACAAGTGGCACTGGAGAATCGAAACACTATAATTATATTACAGTAATGATGAAAAGGTAAATTATACACCGTGAAAAAGATGAAAAAACTTACTGACGTTTC